CACGTGATCTGTCCCTTTGTGGCGGGCATATTCCACTCAGCATGCATCCTCAGGTTCGCCTGTGTGGCCCTGCCACGTGATCTGTCCCTTTGTGGTGGGCATATTCAACTCAGCACGCATCCTCAGGTTCGCCTGTGTGGCCCTGCCACGTGATTTGTCCCTCTGTGGCAGGCATATTCCACTCAGCATGCATCCTCAGGTTCACCTGTGTGGCCCTGCTATGTGATCTGTCCCTTTGTGGCAGGCATAGTCCACTCACACACATTCTCAGGTTCATGCACGTGGCCTGCCACAGCTTCCCTTCCTCTCCGTGGCTGAATCATATTCCATGTATAGATGCACATATTTTTGATTGCCCATCATCTGCATGTGAATGCATGGGCTGCCTCCATCTTTGGCTGTTGAGCATACCATGCGTTGTAGACTGTTAGCATCTGTGGCCGGGGATTATCAGTTAATGAGCCTGTGCAGGCAGAATGCTTAGATGGGGGCTCTCCTGACTCAAGAGACCCTGCAGAGCACGACCCAGGGCCATTGTGCCCGCTGGGGTGGTTCCTGTGCGCCCTGCTGGTGCCTAGGGCTTTTTTTGTCTGACTTCTGGGCATGAATTAGCAGCCAGTGAGCTCATCAGCACAGACAAGGTCAGAGTTCATCCCAGAGGCATCTTCTCCCCTATTTTCTTTGATATATCAAATTTTACAACTGTTTACTGAAAAAAAAAAAAAAAGTGTGTGTGTGTGTGTGTGTGTGTGTGTGTGTATTTTAATGAAACATGGTTAGGGAAGAAGCCAAGTCGGGGCGGCCTGTCCTGGTCCATCTTCCAGGGCTGTGGGGAACAATGGGGCTGGGGCTTCTGGGTGTAGATACTGAGCTCGCCCTGCAGTCCACATAGCCAGGCCGGTGCCTTCCTGAGCAGGTAGCACTGAGCGCACAGCTCTCAGGGAACAGCCACGTCCAGCCCCACCAGGTCCCATCCACCCGCTGCACGGGCCTCACTAGACGCTAGTGTGGAAGCCATTGGACAGGACTTGGAAGAGACTGATCTGAATTACTAACAATGATCCTGGCTGTAACAAGGCTAACAATGCCCAGGGCTGGCAGGACAGTCCTGGAAATCCTGTGGTCACTGTCCAAGTGGAGACAGCCAGTGTGGTACCAGTGACTGCAGCAGTGGTTGTGGTATTAGTGGTAGTATTAGTGACGGTATCATGTGGAGGAACCAGTGATAGCAGTGGTGACAGAACCAGTAGCAGTAGCCATACTGGTGATGGGAGTACTGGTGATAAAAGCGGAGCAGCAGTGGCACTACTGGTGGCATTGGCAGTGGCACTAGTGGCGGCAGTGGCAGTGTTGCTAGTGATAGCAGCTGTAGGGTTGGTGCAGTGCCGCTGATGGGAGCAGCCGTGGCAGGGGCAGTAGGTACAGCACGAGTGGCCGTGCAGGGGAGTGGTGGCCCATGTGTGCCAAGCCCTCGTCCCACTGGGCACTGCTCCAGGGCATCATCGTGCCACTCAGTCTTCACGAGAGCTTGTGGAGGGCATGACGATCACCCCACTTGTGGACAAGGTGCGTGGGGCTGAGAGGTTGTGTTGCTTAATTTTGGAGACGTGTTAGTTTCAGAAGGGTTGGTTCTGCTGGGGACCCTGTGGGTGTGTGTGAGGCCCATGCTCACCCAGGAAAGGGGCAAGCCCGCTGTCAGGGCGCCACTGCCCAGAGGCAGGCCCCGGGGCGTGTGCTGTGTACGTTCTGACCTTCCACTTCTCTGTACACAGGGGCTGTGACACTGCCGTGCCGGGCTGTCACGGGGAGCAGATGACTCTAAGCCCAGGCTGGGCCCAGGGTGAATGGCCACTCAACATGGCCACTCCTTGGAGCACAGCCACCCACGACAGACATGCAGAGATGGGCTGCAGAGACGCGTGGCTGTGGGCTGCCTTTGAATGTGCGTGAGGCTGGGACTAAGGGCCGATTACAGGTGAGAAGTTGAGTCATTTTTCTTCTTTAAAATGGAAGCTGATGAGCCACCTCCTGATTGCCTTTCAGTCACGCCCAAGAGTCAGGTGCTGCTGCAGCCACCCCAGCCTGGCCTCCCAGAGGCTTGCTCTCCACAGGACAGGCTGGGGACGGGGACAAGCCCCAGTGAGCAGCTGGCCACCTGGCACGGACCACAAGGAAGTGCCATGTTAAGGGGGCAACTATGATCCAACCCGTTTCACCCTCACACAGCCCAATACGCAGGTGTAATTCACACGTGGCAGTTGCCCCATTACAGGTGAGGAACCTGTGGCCCAGTGGGTGGAGCTGCTCCAGTGGCTCCCATGGCCTGTGGGTGGTGGGGCCCGCCCAGTGCACAGCAGGAAAATGCAGGAAATACCATAGAAACCCTGGTTCCTGATCCCACCCGCACCCAAGCATTGGTGCTTCTTTCTTCCTTTGTTTCAACATGAATGATATCAAAACCACGGAGAGTTCTTTCCCGGGCACAATTTCTTCAATGTCACCACACTTATTACCAGTCCTGCTTTTGGGATGAAAATGGACCTTAGCAAAGCAAGAGGTTAAAAAATAAGCCACCTCCCTCAACAAATAAAAAAATTGATGTGATCCCATGAGATTTCCAGCCCAGTGCCCAAGGCAGGAGACCTTCACCACAGGCACGCGGCAGGTGCAGGGTAAACTTCTGTCTCCTTTAAGCAGACGTGCAGATGGCCGCAGCTCCAGGCCCCCAACCCCACCCACCACTTACCTGTGGGATGATTGTGGGTCATCCGGCCACACTCGACGCTGACCTCAATGAGGGTCTCCAGCCGCTCGGGCTTCCAGTACCGCAGGCCAACACACATGGCCTTGGTAGCTGCTCCAAACCCCGAGCCTATGTGGAGAAGGAAGACCTGGTTTACACTTCTGCTCAAGTAATTCCACTTCTGACAATCTAGCTTTCATGAATAATTTTAAAAGTGTGCGTAATAACACGTTCATCAGAGTGTGGTTGAAATGGGGGAGGCCTAGGCAGCCCGCTCAGGTGCCTGCAACGGAAAGGAGATGGGACTAGTTCAGTTGCACCCACGTATCGGGTGTTAGTCACTAGTTCAGATGCGTCTGTGTGTCGGCATTACTCAGTCACTAGTTCAGTTCTCAGTCACTAGCCTGGTTGTGTCTGTGTGTCGGGTGTAACTCAGTCACTAGTTCGGTTGCGTCCGAGTGTCAGGCATTACTCAGGCACTAGTTTGGTTGTGTCCGTGTGTCGGGTGTTAGTCACTAGTTCAGTTGTGTCCATGTGTCGGGTGTAACTCAGTCACTAGTTCAGTTGCATCCGAGTGTCAGGCATTAGTCACTAGTTTGGTTGTGTCCATGTGTCAGGTGTTACTCAGTCACTGGTTTGGTTGTGTCCGTGTATCGGGTGTAACTCAGTCACTAGTTCGGTTGTGTCCGTGTATCAGGTGTAACTCAGTCACTAGTTCGGTTCTGTCTGTGTGTCGGTTGTAACTCAGTCACTAGTTCGGATGCATCTGTGTGTCAGGCATTACTCAGTCCCTAGTTCAGTTGTGTCCGTGTGCCGGGTGTAACTCCGTCACTAGTTTGGTTGCGTCCAAGTGTCAGGCGTTACTCAGTCACAAGTTTGGTTGTGTCCCTGTGTTGGGTGTTACTCAGTCACTAGTTTGGTTGTGTCCCTGTGTCGGGTGTAACTCAGTCACTAGTTCGGTTGTGTCCATGTGTTGGGTGTTACTCAGTCACTAGTTTGGTTGTGTCCCTGTGTCGGGTGTAACTCAATCACTCGTTCGGTTGTGTCCATGTGTCAGGTGTTAGTCACTAAAAGCAGAACACTTGGTGGCCTAGGGATATGCTCATGATATGCAGCATGCTTTCAAGGTTTTCCTTGTAAAAACAGTTTCATTGAGTTATAACTACATACAACAAACTACACATAATTAAACATGCATGATCCTGACTTCCATGCAGGTGTACACCCGTGACCCAGCACCCAGGCGCAGAGAACTCCTCTGTGGCCCCAGAAGCTGCTGGTGCCCTTTGCAGTCCGTCTTCCTGCCTCTCCTCAGCCACGGCTGCGGCCGTGTGCATTACTCCTGTGTCCCAGGCACCGTGTGAATGGAATCAGCAGAACGTGCAGTGCTTTCCACCTGACTCCTGTCACTTCCACATAACCGCTCTGAGAGGCGCCCAGGTTGCTATGGATCAATAGCGATTCCTTTTTATGGCTAAATAGGTCCCCGTTGCGTTGATCTGCCGTGACCACTCTATCCACTGACCCGTGGGGGATGTTTGGGTGGTGTCCAGTCTGGGGCTCTGAGGTGAGGTGCCAGACCCTGGTGTGGACAGAGGCTGCCTCTTCTCTTGGGCAAATGCCTGGTGGCAAAGCCTCCAGATCATGTGGTGATGAATGAACGTTTTTGTTTGTTTTTATTGTTTGTTTGAGATGGAGTCTTGCTCTGTGGTCCAGGCTGGAGTGCAGTGGTGTAATCTCAGCCCACTGCAGCTCTGCCTGCTGGGCTCAAGCAATTCTCCTGCCTCAGCCTCCTGAGTAGTTGTGATTACAGTTGTGTGCCACCATGTCCGGCTAGTTTTTGTGTTTTTAGCAGAGACGGGGTTTCACCTTGTTGTCCAGGCTGGTCTTGAACTCCTGACCTCAGGTGCTCCACCCACCTTGGCCTCCCAAACTGCTGGGATTACAGGCGTGAGCCACTGCACCTGGCAGAATGTTTAACTTTTAAGGAAGCTACCAAATGGGTTTCCAGAGTGGCAGAACCCCTCCGTGTCCCTCCAGCAGATCCACCACATCCATGACAGCACTTGCTATGCTCTTTAAAGTTTTAGCCATTCTTTTAGGTATGTGATGATATCTCATTGTGGTTTTATTTGCATCTCAAAAGATGTTGAGCATGATTTTGTGCTTATTGGCCACCAATATATCTTCTTTGGAGATGTTTTGCCCCATGTTTTATTCTTTTCTAAAAATTTTTGATAGGCCTGGTGCAGTGGCTCACACCTGTAATCCCAGCACTTTGGGAGACCGAGGCAGGTTGATCACGAGGTCAGGAGTTCAAGACCAGCTTGGCCAACATGGTGAACCCCGTCTCTACTAAAAATACTAAAATTAGCCAGGTATGGTGGCAGGCGCCTGTGATCTCAGCGATTCAGGAGTCTGAGGCAGGAGGATCGCTTGTACCAAGGAGGTGAAAGTTGCAATGAGCTGAAATCGTGCCACTGCACTCCAGCCTGGGTGATAGAGCAACACTCCATCTCCAAAAAAATTTTTTTTTTAAATAATAGAGTTGGTGTCTCTCTATGTTGCTCAGACTGGTCTCGAATTCCTGGTCCAAGCGATCCTCCCGCCTCGGTCTCCCAAAGTGCTGGGATTACAGGTGTGAGCCACTGCACCTGGCCCTCTTTCCCCTTTTTGTCCGGGGTTGCTTGCTTTTTTCTTATTAAGTTGTAAGAGTTCTTCATGCGTTCTGGATTCAAGGCCTTATCCGATATCTGCTTTGCAAATATTTTCTCCCAGCTTGCACTTGCCTTTTCATTCATTAAACAGAGTTTCCTGGAGAGCAGAAGAATGAATTTGGGAAGAATTCCTCTTCTTCAATCTTTTGGAAGAGTTGTGTACAACTGATATTATTTCTTCCTCAGGGGTTTGGTGGAAGACCCTGTGAAGCCATCTGGGACTGAAGCTTCCTTCCTTCTTTCCTCTCTTCTCTTTGACTCTGTTGCCTCGGCTGGAGTGCAATGGCACGATTTCAACTCACTGCAACCTCTGCCTCCTGGGTTCAAGTGATTCTTGTGCCTCAGCCTTTTGAATAGCTGGGACTACAGGTGTGCACCAGCATGCCTGGCTAATTTTATTTTTAGTAGAGACAGGGTTTCACCATGTTTGCCAGGCTGGCCTCCAACTTCTGACCTCAGGTGATCTGCACACCTTGGCCTCCCAAAGTGCTGGGATTACAGGTGTGAACCACTTTGCCCAGTCTGGGCTTGCAGTTTTCTTTGTAATTGCTTTTTTAAATTTGTTTGTTTGAGACGGAGTCTTGCTCTGTCACCCAGGCTGGAGTGCAATGGTACAATGTTGGCTCACTGCAACCTCTGCCTCCTGGGTTCAAGCAATTCTCCTACCTCAGCCTCCCAAAGTAGCTGAGATTACAGGCGTGCACCAACATGCCCAGCTAATTTTTGTATTTTTGGTGGAAACAGGGTTTCACCATGTTGGTCAGGCTGGTCTCAAACACCTGACCTCAGGTGATCCACCCACCTTGGCCTCCCAAAGTGTTGAGATTACAGGGGTGCGCCACTATACCTGGACTTGTAATTTCTTCCATAATATGTAATGCTATTTAAATGATCTATTTTCTCTTGAGTGACCTTTGGTAGTATATGTCTTTCAAAAAATTTGTCCTTTTAATCCAAGTTGTTAAATGTATTGGCATAAAATCGTGACTAATATTGCCTTATTTTCCTCTTAATTTCCAGACTCTGTAGTGATTTTACTCTCATGGTTCATACTGACCATTTGTCTTTCTCTTTTTCCACATCAGCCTAGCTAAAGGATTATCAATGTTTTGATCTGAAAGAACCAGCTTTTGGTTTCATTAATTTGTTCTACTCTTTTTGTGTTTTCTCTCATTGGTTTTCACTCTGATCTTCACTATCTTCTGTATTTTTCTTTTTTTGAGACGGAGTTTCGCTCTTGTTGCCCAGGCTGGAGTGCAATGGCGAAATCTTGGCTCACTGCAACCTCTGCCTCCCAGGTTCAAGCAATTTGCCTGCCTCAGCCTCCCGAGTAGCTGGGATTACAGGCATGTGCCACCAAGCCTGGCTAATTTTATATTTTTAGTAGAGGTGGGGTTTCTCCATGTTGGTCAGGCTGGTCTCAAACTCCTGACCTCAGGTGATCTGTCCACCTCCCCCCTGAAGTGCTGGGATTACAGGTGTAAGCCACTGCGCCTGGCCTCATCTTCACTATTTTCTTTCTTCTGCTTTCAGTTTAGTTTGCTATGAGTTTTCTGGTTTTTAAATGTGAAAATGGAAGCCAGTGGTTGGAGTCCTTCATGCTGAAGTCAGTGCCTGTAACTGTGGGCTTCTCTGTTTCTCTTCACGGCCTTGTCAGCTTTTCTTCATATATTCTGAAGCTTTGTTATTAGGTACAGAGACACTGAGGCTTGTTATGTCCCCCAATGAACTGATTCATTTGCCATCATGAAATTGCCTTCTTTATTCTTTGCAATATTCTTTGCTCCAAAATTTACAATATATGCTCCAGCTTTCTTTTGATTAGTGTTAGTGTGGTATATTTTTCCATCTTTAAAAAAATTTTTTTTTGAGATGGAGTCTCACCCTGTGGCCCAGGCTGGAGTCAGTGGCACAATCTGAGCTCACTGCAACCTCCACCTCCTGGGTTCAAGCAATTCTCCTGCCTCAGCCTCCCAAGTAGCTGGGATTACAGGGGCCCACCACCATGCCCAGCTAATTTTGTATTTTTAGTAGAGACAGGGTTTCACTATGTTGGCCAGGCTGGTCTCGAACTCCTGACCTCAGATGATCTGCCTGCTTTGGCCTTCCAAAGTGCTGGGATCAAAGGCATGAGCCACCACTCCCAGTCTATTTTTCCATCTTTTTAAAAACTTTAAATCTATTTATGTCTTTATATTTAAAGTGTTGCTCAAGTGCAACAGGTGGTTTTGTTGTTGTTTTTCTTTTAGTGTATTCCTTGGCGAGGCACAGTGGCTCATGCCTGTAATCCCAGCACTTTGGGAGGCCGAGGTGGGTGGATCACTTGAGGTCAGGAGTTTTACACGAGCCTGGCCAACATGGTGAAACCCCGTCTCTACTAAAAATACAAAAATTATCCAGGAGTTGGGGTGCATCCCTGTAATCCCGGCTACTGGGGATGCTGAGGCAGGAGAATCAGTTGAACCCAGGAGGTGGAGGTTGCAGTGAGCTGAGATCGTGCCACTGCACTCCAGCGCTGAGCAATGGAGCAAGACTCCATCTCAAAAATTAAAAAGGGTATTTCTTATAAGCAGCACATAGTTGGGAGCTGGGAATTGCTTCTTTATCTAATGTGACAACCTCTGACTGTTATTTGGGGGTCTTCAGACCATTCGCCTTTGATGTCATCATTATTATCTTGATTGTTTTCTACTTGTACTGTCTAGTGTTTGTCCCCACTCCCCCCTTTTCTGCCTTTCTTGGGTTGACTGTTTCTCAAATGATTCAATTTTCTCTCTTTCATTGGCTTACTAGCTCTGTTTTGTGATTTCCGCAGTGGCTTTTGGGTTCATGGTGTCCATCTGTATCTCACTAAAGGCCCTTCCTGTGGCTGACTCCACTACACACAGTGTGGGAGCCTCACAGTCATCAGCTTCCAACTCTCCCCTTCCAGCCTTTGGGCTACTGCTGTTGTACATTTTACTTATATTTTATAAACCATACAGTTCATTATTAGTTTTAATTATCTTTTAAAGACATTTAAATGACGTTTTAAAATTTTGCGCATTTCCCCATACAGTCACCATTTCTGTAATGCTCTATTGCACTGCATCACTCTGTGTCCCTATAACGCTCCATCCCCCCACTGCGTGGGTCTGTGTCCCTATCACACTCCATCCATCCACTGCGTGGGTCCGTGTCCCTATCACACTCCGTACCCCACCGCATGGATCTGTGTCCCTATCATGCTCCATCCCCCCCCACGTGGGTCTGTGTCACTATCACGCTCCGTCCCCCTGCGTGAATCTGTGTCCCTATCATGCTCCGTCCCCCAGCACCGGTCTGTGTTCCTATCACGCTCCTTCCTCCGCCGCGTGGGTCTGTGTCCCTATCATGCTATGTCTCCCCCACTTCGTGTGGGTCCGTGTCCCTATGACACTCCGTCCCCCTGCGCGGGTTCATGTCCCTATCACACTCTGTCTCCCCACACAAGTCTGTGTGTCTATCACACTTTATTTCACTGAGTGGGTCTCTATTTGCATTCATTGCAGGTTTCCTTATGTCTGAATGACTTCCATTAGCATTTCTGTTACATGACTCTGAGTCTGTGGGTGATGAATTCTTTCAGCTTTTGTTTGTCTGAAAAAGACTATTTTGCCTTCATTTCTGAAAGACATTTGTTTCAGGGTGTAGAATTCTAACAGGCCAGGCTGTTAGAATGGTGGCTCACACCTGTAATCTCAGCACTTTGGGAGACTAAGGCAGAAGGATTGCTGAAGCCCAGAAGTTCAAGACCAGTCAGGGCAACAAAGTGAGGTCCCCTCTCTACAAAAA